AAAAAAAATCACGACTTTTGTCACACCTTTTGGATCATTTCAATACAAAACAGTACCGTTTGGTTTGACTATAGGCTCTTCAGTTCTTTCCATGCTAATAGAAAAATTATTTGGTCAAGTAAAATATAAATTCGTGTGGACCTTTATTGATGATTTATAGGTGTATTCAAAAACATGGAACTAACACATTCAGCATGTGAAAATTGTATTAAACATATTGCGGAAGGCCAAGTTAACCGTTAATCCGGAAAAAATCCAAGTAGGATGTTTGGAAATAAAATTTATGGGATATTTACTTTCTCAGAATACCTTAAACTTCCATACCTATCTTACTCACAATAAATTCATATTATATACAGACTGCTCGGCGCTAACTTGGATATTTAAGAATTCGACAAAATTAACTGGTCGTTTAGCAAGATGGATTGCATTTCTTCAAAACTATGAATTCGAAGCAAGGCACATAAAAGTAAAAACCAACCATATAGCAGACGCGCTTTCACGATTTACACAGCCTGATAACATTATCGGACTCAAAATTAGCCAGTATAATAAACACAATGTCCAGCGGTAACAATATGAAAGGCTATATCATGAACAAGGAAAACCTATTGTGTTTAAAAACACCGACGATGCTGCAACCAAAAGTGATACTTCCAAAGGCTTTATATCCAGTAATTTTTGATTATTTCCACACATCTGCATTCGGATCTCACAGGGGATTTAAAAAAACTCTTTCCAACATAAGAAGGTACTTCACTTATCCGCAAATGGGTAAAGATATTGTTCGCTAAGTGGACTGTATATGAATATATGGGTAAATAAATTTATAATTTATTTTAAATTTTAAAGAGTGAATCCGAGGAGGGGATTGGGATACATTTAAGTTTGCACTTACCCCAACGAGTTCAAGCAGTTCGGCCCCAGTCGTCCTCTTCTTTCTTCGACTAGGTAGGGCCCCACAGTCTCCGGCGGATTCAGACGTTTGGTACCTAACTCTTAAGGGACCCGGGCAATTAGGAATCATCAATTGCGCAAAACACGAGTTTAGATAAGCAGGTACGATAACGATGTTCTCGGCTTTGGCTCTAGGCAACAACTAACTCGCCGACCGGCCGGAGACCTCCAGAAGGGTTCAAAAGGGCGATCGGCGTAAACATCACCACCCACCAAAGCACGAAGGGCTTTAGGAAATAGGACGTCAACATAGGAAAAAACACAAGAAACCAAAATTGGAACTTCCATATGGAAATAATTAAAGGAAAAGAAATCAACTTGATGGAGGGGAAAATTACATAGGTACCCACCTAGGGTAGTAAACAGACAAATAGAAAGGAAAAGTCAAACTCCAATTAAAGCAACAAAAAATAGGGTTTCCACCCACCAAAACAAACAGACAGGAAAATATGTACAATATATACAAGGAGACTGACTAACTCTAAATCAGTCAGGCAGGCGCAATAATTTATTGACTGGACGAGTATAAACACCTCGAACAGTTTGAACAGTGGCCACTCGTACGATTCCATCCCTGCCTGGATGGAACTGGGTAATTCTGCCCATGGGCCAGTCGAGAGGGTTACTCGTCAGGTCAGTCAAAAAAACTATCTCGCCATTACAAAGGGGCTTACAATGAGTAGCCCATTTGACTCGGTTGTTCAAAGTTGTGAGATATTCACGGGTCCATCTTTTCCAGAAGGATTGGGTAACAATGCGTAAACGTGTCCAACGTTTGTGTAATGATGAATCTTCAGGCATGGGTTTCTCAGGCAGTGCGAGCAAGGGAGCACCTATAAGAAAATGACCCGGAGTCAAGTAGTCATTATGGTCAGGATCATCTCTTAAATTACAAAGAGGACGACTATTCAGGATAGCCTCTATGCGAGAAAATAGAGTGTAGTATTCTTCAAAGGTAAGTACCGTTTCCTTTATAGTCCTTTTCATTAGGAGTTTAGCAGATTTTATGGCGGCTTCCCACAATCCACCAAAATTGGGGGACTTGGGCGGATTGAATTGCCATTTAATCTGCCTTCCAGAGCAGTATTCACCAATTTGGGTGGAGTTATTTTTCAAAAAAGCTAGAGTTTCCGTCAAATAACGAGCGGCTCCTACAAAGTTGCGACCACAATCCGAATAAATAGTGTGAGGAGCGCCTCGACGGGCCACGAATCTATCCAAGGCGGCTAAAAAGGNTCATATTTACTATCAACACTGAGGGCACGAAAGGCTGTACATTTGGACACCGCATGAGAGCTGTTGCAATACGGGCAGTGCAAACTTTTATTCGAGCCAGAGACTCGAGTAGACCCCGCATTGTCTTTAGTTTCAACCGGTTTGGTAAACAAGACCATGCTTGGTTTGCGGTTGTTAATAGGCTCTTTTACGGTTGATTCTAACAGTTCATTAGTTCGACACATTTCAGTAACAAATTCTACAAGTTGTTTATAAAGCGGGATTGAATTTGACGAGTGTTTACTCTCAAAAGCCTTCCGGGTTTTGTGGTCTAAATTATGTAACGCCAGATGTAAAAACAAATAATCAGCTTGATCAGAAATTTCTAACGCTTTGAAGGCATTTACCGAAGTTGTATGAACTTTCAGAAATCTTTGTAAATTATGTGCATTTCCATTGGGCATTTTACCAAAGTTACAAATATTATCTATATACATTTGTGCTAACCTTCGTTTATTTTGATAACGCTCTTTTAAAGCATTTAAAGCTAACGCGTAATTTTGTTCAGATAAGTGATACGGAGAGATAACGGACTGTGCATCCCCGACCACTAATGTCTGAAGGTACTGAAATTTCTGAACGTTAGTCAAACGCTTATTACTATCTATTAACGATTCAAACAGGCCCAAGAATCCTGGCCATTCGACAATTCGGCCAGAGAAGGGAGCTATCTCCAACTTCGCTAAGTTATCACAAGCAGGGGTCTCGGAATTCTGTGATACATTAACCTGTGGTTCTTCCTTTTTGTCATATTCTAAGTAAGCAGCCTTAGCCGCAAAGACCATATCTTCAAACGCGGTTTGAACTTCATTTACTTTAATGATAAAAGAAGGATCCCCGATTTTTGAATTAAATGTGATAACTCTATTCTGGATATCATCAAACCGTTCTTCTAATGTACTCAATCTTTCCAATCTCGGAACAAATGATTTTACCTTGTCACATGACAGGGATTTGGAATAATTGAGTATTGATTGCACACTTGTAAAAACCTTTTCTCTTTGGGAAATTAATGTTTTATATTCTGACTCTATTTCCGTTTTGGGAGACATGTTAACTTTGTAAAGCTATCAAGATTGTTAAATTTAAAACACAAAGAAATTCTTCAACCAACACTTTCGTTAGTGGTTAATTTAAACAAAGCATGCAAATAAATTGTATAATAAACAAATGGTAATTCTTGTACGTTAGTAACTGGTTGTTTATAAACACTGTAGAAGGTAATACATACATAAGGTTACACTCACTTCGCTCCCTTGACTTCCAGAAACCCCCACCCGGAACCGGCAAGACACAAGTGGTCCAGGTGATGATCACGAATGACGTAAGGCTGCCTGCAGATTCAGGTACTGAAATTGCAAATGTCCGGACCCTTCCACGGTCCCCTCTTATTCACTCTTTTTTACACAATTTTATCCGGTTCGGTGGGACCAAATTTTATGTTCGCTAAGTGGACTGTATATGAATGGGTAAATAAATTTATAATTTATTTTAAATTTGAAAGAGTGAATCCGAGGAGGGGATTGGGATACATTTAAGTTTGCACTTACCCCAACGAGTTCAAGCAGTTCGGCCCCAGTCGTCCTCTTCTTTCTTCGACTAGGTAGGGCCCCACAGTCTCCGGCGGATTCAGACGTATGGTACCGAACTCTTAAGGGACCCGGGCAATTAGGAAACATCAATTGCGCAAAACACGAGTTTAGATAAGCAGGTACGATAACGATGTTCTCGGCTTTGGCTCTAGGCAACAACTAACTCGCCGACCGGCCGGAGACCTCCAGAAGGGTTCAAAAGGGCGATCGGCGTAAACAGATATAAAGCAAAGAGTAGAAAGATGTTTATTATGTGCAAAATTTAAATCGGATCATACAGGAAGAAAAGGACTTTTGATGTCAACACCGCCCATGCATCCGATGGAAAAATTATACGTGGATTTCGTAGGACCATTTCCACGTTCTGTCGAAGAAAATCGGTACATACTAATAATGATGGATGGGTTCTCAAAGTTTTTATTGGCTATCCCGACAAGGAGAGCAACGAGTAAAGATGTCATTAAGAACATAAAATCGCATATTACTGCACAACACGGTCTTCCAAAAATAATTATCTCTGATAACGGTCCAGCTTTTCGAAGCAGAGAATACAAAAATTTTTGTTTTGAATTAGGAATAACCTATTATTTAACTATTCCCTATAACCCACAATCTAACATGGTAGAAAGAGCCATACAACCGTTGAAAACTGCCATTGCTATTTATCATCATCAAGATCAGAATAAATGGCAGACATCATTGCATTTCACTTTTATATCATTGAACAATGCAATTCATAATTCGACAGGCCAAGCACCGGCAAGATTATTTTTAGGACGTGACATTTTTCATCGCATGAATTTAAAAATGGAAATTTCAGAAGAGCTGTGGTTTAATAGTTCAAGACAGAAAATGGAAAAATTTAGGAAACAAACATATAAAAATCTAAGCAGAATTTATGAATGAACGAAACGGAATTATGACAGAGCCAGAAGTCGAGAGAACTACAACATTGGCGACTTAGTATTGCTGAAATCTCATTATTCATCAGACAAGGCGCATTCTATAACAGCAAAATTAATGCCTCGTTTTAACGGTCCGTTCAAAATTAAAAACATCATGTCCAAGGTTTCGTATGTGTTAGAAAATGTGGAAACAAATGCAGTAGTGAGAGCTCATGTGACCCAAATAAAAAGATTTAAGGGCGAAACAACAATGTAGTCAGAATGAATATAGATTAACGTAAATAGTTTAATAATTACCTTTTCACGGATATCCGAATGGGAGAAAAATCCGACATTTGAAGAAGGGCCTAACGAAAACTGACTACCGTGAATAAGTTATTTGTAAACAAAACTTGTTAAATAGATCCGAACTGATAAATAGATCACACAGCATTCTGCAAATTGTAAATAGTAAATGTAAATAAAAAAATTATGTGTACCTCAATTAATCTATCATACATTTTGAATTAACCTGTTAAAAAAAATGCCACGAAAGTAAACCGTCAAGCACACACAAAAAAGACATCTTTTTCTCAAGCAGACGATGAACTGATCTACCACAGTCACCAGGACCACTGCAGTCAGCAACATCTTTCAGGAATGAGATTGATCAACTCTACCCTCGCTCCGGGGAAAATGGCATTTTCCGTGGAGAGTGGCCATCTTGTTATGAAAATCACGACAATTTTTATTTAATTGACTTTTTGTTTATCTTTTTCTCGACGACAATTGAAATGGCGACGGAGAGCTTTAGAGAAGTGTACTTCATTTTTAAATCATTAATTCACTATTTTCGTGGTCCGCTTGACCAATTAAGACAAGACAATTAATTAAGGTTTTTAGTTGAGATGAAAAACAGTTAATGGCACGAGAGGGATTCGAACCCACGACCTTCGGCTAGATACGCCGCTGCTCTACCACCTGAGCTATCGTGACCTCGATCCACTCGGACATCAACTNGACTTCTATGTTTGTGGCGATATATATGTTATGTATTGTATGTTGTGTATCTATTCTTAAAGTGACAACCTGAGGTACTAACAAGAGGCTAGCTTTTTAAAATAACGACGTAATATACAAGTAAAAGCAGAGAGTCAGTAACCAGATCGAGATGCTTAAATGGCTGCAGTTCAATACAAAATACGCGAGAAAGACAGGAAAGAGAAGGAATACATGCGGAGGGCCGGCGATGACCTCAGCTGTTTGTCGGCCCATAAACCTTCCACTTTATATATATATATTATTATTGTTGTTGCAGTTATTATTTTACTATGTTTACAAAACAAAATTTATTTTCAATATATGTAGGTGTTAAGGGGCTTAAAGCCTTATTCGTACCTCTAAATTAAATAAATAAACACGCAGTAGCTGAGTGGTTAGGTAGTCCGAATCGTATTTCTTACGCCTCAGGTCCTTGTTTCGAATCTCGGCATAGCCTTGTAACTTTTAACTGTTTATAATGTAGGAAATAAATGTGAAACGAATTGTAATGTAGTTTGATACTTCGTCCGTAACACCTCGAGATAGTTGCTCATAAATGAAGCAAACGTTAAGTCATGTCATAATTAAGGAGAAGCAAACGAGAAAGTTTGGCTTTTGAATGAGAAGTTTTAGCCAGATGGGAAAAAATGTTTATTTGTTTGTTTCATTAAGTGTGTATCATAAATTAGCATGTACCGTAATCGCAACCAGACAATAGAAGAAAACAAGTGAACAGCCAGTTAATTACCTTAAGGAGGCTAATTGGAATATCCTAGCGTGTAAGAAATCCCGAGTGGTATCGTGCTGAATTGACAGTTGAAGCTAGTTAGAGGTCCCAAGCCACCTCAGTTGTAGTTATCTTGAATAATTAGTCAACAGGGCCTTGGGTGACAGGCAACTCGGACACTCACTTCCATCCTAGTTAGCATCTCGAAACGATAATCCACCTGGACAAGACGTAAACTTTACAAAAAGGAAAATTTTAATCATTATTTGAAGTTGTAGAACAAAACTTTTACCCAGTACAGAAATTCAGAGGAAGTAAGATCGATCAACATCTATGATAAAATTTTCCTTCATTACATGCAATTGACTGTTTAATCAACTTCAAACATTGGTAAAGTGAAATTTTATGTGCTTTTATGTACAAATAAATATCACAATAGATAATTATTTGGTAAAGAGAGAATTGTTAGGAATTTGTATGGTAAAGTTGTCGATAAGCATTTCGACAACCCTTTTCGTGTTTCATATCCCCACTAAAGAAAACTCTCAGTAATGGTTATGACATCACAATGTAAAATGCTATTTATAAAAACATAATGTATAACAATGAAAAGTCGAAACTAAAAACCAATTAAAACTGAGTAATCCACAAATCAAGGTGTTACTGTGTGCATACAGTTGAACAGTAAAAAATGGAGGAGACCAAAAATGAATTTTTTCTTGCTCAAAGATTACGTAACGAATTTGGTGGGATTAAAGGAATCAAATCAGTAATTTTTTGTAACGAATGGAAATTGTGGGGAAGTTTATTTCTAGTAAATTTTTCGTATATATTTTTACATATATCCAATTGAACCCTTGATGGTGTGTCTTACGTCGGAAAACAGAGGCTTACAGTAATAAAATCATTTGATTATGGTCATGTCGGCATGCTTGTTTTTGGCATAAAACACACAGGTCTATCTGTCTTCATTGACATCAGCCGGGAAAGGCTAAATCCAACAATTTTTGCTGCATATGTAAAGGAATTATGTTGAAAGTTGGGTTAAAAATTGAAATTATTTGTACAAATTCACTCCTACATGCGTATTAAATTTGGTTTGCCGGTAAATGAATATTGGCAGTCATGGGTCGGGCCTCACTTAAATACATTCTTTTTGCACCATTTACCCAGTTAGGGTGGTAGAAGTACTCCAAATTGCCCCATAAATCTTATATATATATAATATCACTTAATTGAGAGTGGATGAGGTAATCAATATATACATACCACCACCGAACCTCTTGCACTACACATTCACGCTAGTAAGTACATTAACTCTCAACAAATGCTAGGGACACAAAATTACCGTTACTATATACTTTAAAATATCCCTGTTTCCTATACAAATCTGAAATGATACTCGCTGCTCAACAACGATTCTCATATCAAGTGGCATTCCTATGCGTTCTCTATATGAAACTTAACTTTGGAATAGCTCCTTCCAATTAAGTAACACATCGAACAACGTTTCTCTACATGCCAGACACGTACGAGGGCCACAGAAAGTAATAATGACTGAATTAATGTAAGGTTTCATTTTGCTGTATATTAATAAAATTATAATACATATCGTTCTACATCAAGTTTTTGTTATAATTTTAAAATTTTGTTGGCATATATGTGGCCAATACCCCAACATCCTTTAGTGGTTTTCACTAAGGGGTGTATAAGGCTACCAAAATAACCAAGAATGTTGCGAGGTACTTTCAAAATTCTTATAAAGAAATGTGTGGTGATTAGTGACCGTTAGTCGATAATTATTCAGCAATGTTGAGGTTCGGTCTGGTGTGATGTAGGTTTCAGAAAAACATTTTTTTTATCGTGCCAACGTTTCGATCTTTATTGAGATCATCTCACGCCACTGGCACTCTCAACACGACACGAAAGAATGGCACACTTACGCAGAAAACAATACTTTGAGCCCTGAAGATGATCTCAATAAAGGTCGAAACGTTGGCACGATAAAGAAAATGTTTTCCTGAAACCTACATCACACCAGACCGCATCTCACGAATTCTGAATACGTATAAAGAAATATGATTTTTATTATAGTGAGCGTATACATGAAGACGTTGTTTTCTTTTGAACAAATCTTAGGTAAATTTTTGTCATTATACGTTTATCATCAATCATATGTATAAATTACATTAAAATCACAGGGTTACTAAATGTTTCCTGGAATATTTCCATAGTAACCAGGAATATATTTCATAGGAATTTTAAAATTTTATTGAACCGTGAATAAGAATGGTATTGATGAAGGTTTCTGTTTTTCATGTCAATTTTTTTGCAAGGTTGTTAACTTGATTAAATTTTTTTTAATTGAGCTACCAGCTGTAAAATGATAAAACCAAAATTTACAGAATAACAGTCTGGTTTTCGTTAAGATTTTTCTAAAACAAACCTTGCCAGCTAATAATAAATAAGTTTCATGTTAAGTATATTTCGAAAACGTAACGAAGGTTTGCTATCGTCTATAATGCACAAGTTGTTGAAAATGGAAACGAAGACTCCGACAAATGTATAAACCACGCCAATTGGTGATGCTGAAGTAATTTCGTAAATAGTGATGCCATTAGTGAACATTGCATCGCTTATTGCAAGTAGGGTAGTAAAAATAATGACAGTTAGATGCGATCGGACACACATC